GAACTCTTATCTGTGCCTGCGTCTCCTTGGGCTCTGGGAGATTTTTTCTTTTGGCAGTATTTTATGGAGATACTGTCTAGTCAGAGTAAAATGTACAGATCCTGGTTTTCTGTTTGAATTTTGTTTTGTTTCGAGACAGGGTCTTGCTCTGTCATCCAAGCTAGAGTGCAGTGGCACAATCGTAGCTCACTGTGACTCAACCTCCCAGGCTCAAGTAACCCTCCTGCCTCAGCCTCCCTGGAGCTGGGACCACAGGCCTGCACCACCATGCCCCACTAACTTTTTTTTTTTTTTTTTTTTTTTTAGTAGAGACGAGGTCTCGCTATGCTGCCCAGGCTGCTCTCGAACTTCTAGGCTGAGACAATCCTCCTGCCTCAGCCTCCCAAAGTGCTGAATGACAAGTGCCAGCCACTGCACCCAGCCTCAGACTATTTTTAAGGAATATAAACACCTGTGTGTCCACCACCCAGAAGCAGATACAGAACATTTCCAGCCTCTCAAGAGTCCTTCATGCTCATCCCAGTCACTGACTCCCAAAGGTAACGCCATTCTAGCCTGTTTAACTCGACCTGAATGGAATTCTCACAGCATGTGTCTGTTTGGATCTGGCTGCTTCTGCTCAGTTGGGAGACCCATTGATGTTTCCTGTGGCCTCGATCCTTTTTATTGCTGCGGTGACTCTTATATGAAAACCACAGTTCATTTCTCTCCTCTGCTGCTGGTGAAGATTTGCACTGTTCCCAGCCTGGGGCTGCGATGAATAAAGTTGTTAAAAAACAGAAAAATACATTTTTCTTTCCCTTGGGTAATTTTGTAGAAGTGGAAAAGACAGAACATAGGAGAAATCGGTATTTGACTGTGTGACAGCTCACCAAGCAGTTTTTTTTTTCTATTTTTAAATTTTTTTGAGACAGGGTCTTGCTCTGTTGCCCAGGCTGGAATGCAGTCGCGTGATGACAGTTCACTGCCGCCTTGGCCTCCTAGGGTCAAGTGAGCCTCCCACCTCAGCCTCCCACGTAACTGGAACCACAGGTGTGTACCACCACACCTGGCTAATTTGCTTTTTAAATTATATGTAGAGACAAGGTCTTCCTGTCTTGCCCAGGCTGGTCTCAAGCTCCTAGCCTGAAGTGATCCTTCTGCATCAGCCTCTTGAAGTGTCAGGATTACAGGCGTGAGCCACCACACCCCACCAGCTTTTCTAAGCTGCATTGTTTTCCGCTCCAGTCTGCTGTGAATGAGAGTCCCAGTTGTTTCATATCCCAACTAACTGGCGACAGCCTACAAATGACGCGCCATGACGAAATTGTTCCCGCTGTCCGTGGTGTCATAGAGGATTGCGAAGAATGTCCCTCCTTTCTCTCCTTTCTGCTCCACCTGAACTGTCTGCTCCTTAAATTGGTCAAATTCTACTTGATCCAGGAACATAATGGGGATGGGGCTTGCAGACGGCTCACATGCCTCAGCCTGTGGGAGCATCTCAGAGGAATTCGCCTGCAGGTTCTGGTGCATCTAGGCAGAGCACAAGAAGGAAGAGAGGTGCAGACGCACGTGTGGCCCTGCGCCTTCCCTCCCCTCAAGCCTGCACAGGCCTTTACCTGCCCATCCCAGCTCGTGTTTTCGGCCTTCTGGCCAGCACTTCGCTGGGACCTGGTCGACTTCAGGGAAGTTTATTTCATGGCTCCCTCCCCACACTGCAGCCTATCCTGTTATTATCTGTTTCAACCAATCATTTCCCCTAACGGGGTGCTCAAGCCAGTTAAAGGCAGTTCATGCCATATGTTCCTTCCCATCGCATGTCACCTGAAATGTTCTAGTGTGTCCAAGACTTATCTCCCTATCCTAAGACACGGAAAATAAGGATAGAGAAGAGAAGAAAGAGAAATTCACTGAGAGAGGGAGGATCAGAAGCTCCTGGGCACCCCCCACTCTAGAATAAAAATCTTCATTAAGGTGTTTTTCTTACAAAATATTCCCCTCTAAGTTATTATGTTTTTATATGAAGAATAGAAATTTAAAGAGGAGTTTGAAGAGTCTGAGAATCTTCATATAACTCAGGCTGCCACAACACATTAGCTGTGTGACCCGGGGCATGTCCCTCAGACTCTGAGCCTCAGCTTCTCCGAATGTAAAATGGGTTGAAGCCTCCCTTCCCCTCCAGCACCCTATGCACAGGCAATACCCAGCCCCATTATTTTCTGGATTCTGTGACCAAGCGTGGTCAGGCTACACAGCCACACACTTCCGGGCAGAGTCATCTGGGAACTCACTGTTGTGTCAGTGTGGTTGGATATCGTAAACCTCTATGAACCAAATATGCTTTGGGCTCAGGGGTGAAGCACAGGAGAGGGAGGAGGGAAAAGTCACTGGGGCTGGGAGTGCTCACTTCCCTGTGAGTGTCAACCCAGTCCTCCCCCAGTACCCTACCTTTTCCTCTCTGGACCTACTTCCTCTTGTTGCCTGCTCCTCCCCATTGAATAACAGCCAAGTTGCTTTAGTTTCTATTTCTTTGTTAAGTCTTTCCCTCTGCAGAGAACTGCCTGGCGGGTGTGAAAGACAGCAGTGCCACAGAGGCGGTGGAGAGATGGCCTACAGCGGTGCCCCGACTACCTACCTGAACCCAGTGAGTTCCGGGGCCGTGGGCATGGGGCTGCCTCAGCCAGGGCTACACAGCTCTGGGGCTCTGAGGAAGCAACTCCTGGGTGACGGGGATGGGGTGGGAGCTTCCCAAGAGAACACAAGCAGGGCCAAAATGTCAACAGGGTCATCCAGGCACACCTGCACCATGCTGAGCTCGCTCATGCCTGGAGGGATGCTCATCCCCACGAGGCATGGGTTTGACAATGTGGATGGAGCCGTGCTGTCCTGTCCCGTGTGCTCAGGGGAAGAGGTGTAGAGCGAAACGGTGTGTATGAAGAAGTAAGCATGCTCCCAGGGCAGTGAGAACCCACACGGTAGTTAAGGGTGCTAACTTTGGAGATGACCTCCCTGGGTCTGGCTGTTTGCTAGCTGGTGGTCTCTGGACCTCAGTTTCCCCATCTGTAAAGTGGGAATAATACTTGAGGCCCTCCCATTCCCAGGGGTGGGAGTTGGATTGCGGAGGTGGTGTATCTAGTGTGTGTGAACAGTGGCTGGCACCCTGCAGGTGCTTTGAGAGTGTTTCACATTGTTGGGAGTTGGGGGGCAGCAGGGAAGGCCTCCTGAGGAGGGGTTTGTGCTCTGAAGGGTCAGTCAGAGTTAACAAGGCATGGACATGTTCAGGGCATCTGCGCAGGGGCAGCCTCAGAGGTGAGGGGGACAGGGACTGTCCCTGCACTGTGGGGTCACAGGGCAGCAGGGGCCTTGCGGAAACCCTGTGAGGTTTATGAGTCCCCTTCATACATGGAAAATCTGAGGTTCAGGGAAGCAGAGGCCAGTTGCCAAATGCCCCCAGATGGGAGTGGCAACCCCAGGAGCCTTCAGGGGTCACTGTGTCCTGGGCCAGGTCCTGTCACAGGATCTCACCCCGCCTGGGCAAAGAGCTTCCTGAGGAACTGGAGAGGGGAGGGTGGACAGAGGCAGGATGCTGAGGGCAGCGAAGCTGCCAGGACCACCTCAGCAGAGGCCAGAGTAGGGCCTGGGTGCCCTCTGGTGACATTGAGTCCGGAATGAGGCTGCCTGTGTTCTGGTCTGCAGAGCTCGGCTCTGCTGTCTAGACTCCAGAGAGGGAGAGGAGGGAAAGGTGGCCTGTTTCCTCCTGGCTGTCACCAACGACCTCTCAGCCACCCTGTGGAGGCCCCCAAGGTAGGACCTGCACGGAGGGGTCGGGGGAAGCTGGAATGGGCCCACCGGTGGGGGCTTAGGGTCGGCATGTGCCGCCTTGGGCATGTCACCCTGTCTCTGGTTCTCTGTCAGAGAGGCGATCCCAGAGCTTTTTCCAGTTTCTGACATACTGTGCTGGTGACTGGTTTTTATTTTCTAATCTTTGGATTTGGAAGATAAATCCTCCTATGGGCATCAGAGTTTCAGAGAGTTAAAGCGGGGCCTGGAGTCCAGACAAGAAAGACAGTCAGTGTACCCCCATGGGTATCCAGAGCTCTCCTCTACCCCACGAGGGCTCCCCTAGGCTGGGACACTTAAGACTCACTCGGTGACCCTTCTGGCAGCCAGAGCCACACTTCCTCCACACAGTGACAGTAGGAGAATGTCACGCAGTTCGCTCTCCTGCTGAGGAGGGCTGAGGGTCGTGAGGGCCTCGCTTGGAAACCTCACTCCCACTTCCTGTCCGGGCTCATCTAATGCAGCCTCTTCTGAGGATGGGGGGAAGATGGAACCACCTGCTGCATGGCCCAGGGAAGTACTGGGAGAGCCAGAATGAGGATGTTCTCAGCTCCTCATGAGAGGAAGCCTGCGTTGTAGTTAAAAGCGTGGGTGCTGGGGTTCAAATCCCAGCTCTGTTGCTGACCAGCTGTGTAGCTTTGGGCAAATTACAAAACTTTTCTGTGCCTCAGTTTCCTCATCTGTAAAAGTGGCTGGCGCCTGTGAGGATAAATGTTCCTGGTCGTGCCCAGAGCCTTCGTGGACACATGTGGATCCAAATGCCACAGCAGCCTTAGCTGGCCAACCTTAAAACAGCACATTGTTCCTACGGTGTTGGAGGTCAGAGGCTAAAATCAAAGTGTCATGGAAGGTGGCCTGCAGGACCATGGAGCCTCTGAGGCAGCCGGCCACTCTGGCTAAGAGCCATGAACTGGCTCCTACTGTCAGTCTCGGCCAGCCAGGCTGAGCTCCCCACTATCGGGTGTGGAGCTCAGTCCAGAACAAGGCTTCCCGCATTCTTGTCCACAGGGCCCAGCTCTGCTTTCTAGACTTCCAGATAGAAAGAGGGGAGAAAATCCCCAGTCTCTGGGCACAACCAGGAACAGGGAGCAAGTTCTGACTCAGCAGAGGGATCGATTCGTTCCAGGCAAAGAGCTGCACTGTCAAGTTGGACACGAGCCAGGGGCTCAGCACATGGCATCCCACCCGGTCCTCTCAGAATGCTGCCGGGTGTCCTACCATTCAGGGAGGGAGCTGGGGCACAGGCCGGTCAAGCCACTTGGCCAATATCAGATTTGCCAGTGTACGGAGGTGGGAGGCGAGCCCAGGCCCGTGGAACTATAAATCCAATGCAAAAATCCATCCTCCTGCACCGCATGGAACAAAAGCAGGTCCAGTTGTTTTCCTGGGTTTCCTGCACACACAGCTCTAAATTCCACAGCAGCCTTGGCTGACCAATCTTAAAACAACAAATTTGCTCTCTTAATGATTCTGGAGGTCAGATGTTAGAACATGTCAGCAAGGTTGTTTCCTTCCAGAAGCTCCAGGTGAGACTCTGTTTCCTTTTGCAGCTTCTAGAGGCTGCCTGCATGCCTTGGCTTATGGCCCCTCCAGCCATCTTTAAAACCAGCAGCTTTTAAAGATGCTGGGTGCAGTGGCTTATGCTTGTAATCCCAGCGCTTTGGGAAGCCAAGGCAGGAGGAGGATCTCTTTAGTCCAGGAGTTTGAGACCTGCCTGGGCCACGAAGTGAGACCACATCTCTATAGAAAATGGACAAAAATTAGCCAGGCATGGCAGTGCATGCCTGTAGTCCCAGCTATCTGGGAGGCTGAGGTGGGAGGATCGAGTGAGCCTGGGAAAGTGGAGGCTGCAGTGAGCTGAGATCATGCCACTGCACTTCGTCAGCTGGGTGACAGCATGAGATCTTGTCTCAAAAAAAAAACAACAAAAAACCCAAACCCGCTTCTTCTTGCTTCTGTTGTCACATCTCCTGCCTCTGACTCTGATCCTCCTGCCTCCCTTTTGTAGGACCTTTGTGATTACATTGGGACCACCTGTATATGCAGGACAAGCGCCCCTTGCCAAAATCATTAATTTATTCACATCTGCAACGTCTCTTTTACAACATAGTCACAGTTTCCAGGGATTCAAAGGTGGATGTTTCTGGGGTAGCCCATGAAAACCAGTGTTATAAGTTTCTATAACTCCTTCCAGAGATATTTTACATATAAATAAATGAATGCAAGTCCATAGCCTTCTCCACTCACTTTTTATACAAATGGCTTCATTCCATATCGGTGCTCAGAGCTCTCTCTTCCTCTTTTTCTTTCCTTTTAAGGCTACACAGAATCCATTATATGGAAATGCTCTAATTTATTTCACCCTTTTCCTGTTAGAGGACTAACAGGAAAGCTCTTTCTAGTGCTTTGCTTTGTAATCCTTTGTGTCATAATGCTGCAATGAATAGCCTTGTTTGTAGGATGATATCAATTTTAAATCCCTTTTTTCAGGCCGGGCAGGGTGGTTCATGCCTGAAATCCTGGCCCTTTGGCAGGCCTAGACAGAAGGATCACTTGAGCCCAGGTGTTCAAGACTAGCCCAGGCAACACATAGAGACCTCATCTTTACAAAAACATTTAAACATTAGTGGGGCCTGTACCTATTTGGTCCCAGCTATTCCAGAGGCTGAGGTGGGAGGATTACTTGAGCCCAGGAGGTGGAGGCTGCAGTGAGCCGTGATCACACCACTGCATTCCAGCCTGGGCAAGTAGAGTGAGAACCCGTCTCAAAATAAAATCATAAATAAATAAATAAATAAACATAAAATCTTGTTTTTCAGAATTTAGGGGCACCATTTAAGACATTTTGAAACCTCACAGGACTTTTTGGGGGAACTTGTTGCCTTAGAGATGAACCTGTCTTGTCCCACCCCCATGATCTGTACTTGCTCTTTCTCCCTCCTGGATTCCTTAACTAAGCCTTGTGTGCACTTGCGAGCCCAGGTCCACCACGCTCTGCCTTCAATTCTAGACACCGTGGTGTGAATATGCTGAAGTGGGGGCCACATGCTTCCCAGGAGGGTGTGTATTTGAAGCGTCATCACTCATGATAGTATGACAGGCTCTGGAGAGAATCGCAGGCTTCCACAAACAGGCAAGGGGAAAAATTTTCCCCAGACATGTTTCAGGGACCACAGGCTTCCCGATCCTATGCCGTGCTAGTCCATAACTGGATCAGCCTGACTCTCCTTCTGCCACACCGCTGGTGTAGACAGGGACAAGAAAGAGAACTCAGAGACACAGTGAAGCTGTGATTTGCTTGAGGTCACTAAAGTACTTACTGGTAGGAAGTTCAGAGCTGACCCGAGGGGCAACAAAAATGCCCCCCTCAAATCCGTGGAGAGCAGAGTCTGTCTGAATCAGATCCCAGATTTCTGGGGTCTTTCACGGTGCTAGGGGTGTACACTGAATGAGGATGGGTTTCCCAGGGTTCTGTGTAGTCACACAACTCAACAATATAGACCAGAAGGCAGTGGCCAGTAGGCTGAACTTGGCTGGTGGGTATTTTCTGTTTGGTCTGCACCGTGTTTCTTTTAACTTGTTACTATGGGAAATTCATACATGCTCCTCTCAGGGCCAGGCTTCTCCTTATCACAAGCTTAGACTGTCTGAGTAACTAATTGGATTTGTGTCTGCTCCACACGGGACCCTAAGACCCGTGGACTGAGACTCCATCTGTCCTGGTCACAGCCGCACCCCAGCCTCTCACATGGTCCGTCACACCCAGGCCGGCCCCTGACTGACAGTCCCCCACCTTCTTCCTGCAGCCCGTCCCCTTTTCTGGGACAATCGAAGGGGGTCTCCAGGACGGACTTCAGATCACTGTCAGTGGGACCATCCTCAACTCCAGCGGCACCAGGTGTGTATGTGGATGGACATGTTTCTCTCCAGCCTCATCCTTAGTAAACCACTGCGCCTGTGAGCTTGGGTGAGTTCAAACGACAACATCCAAGCTCACGTGCCTGGCTCAGGGAGGCCCAGTGCATCCCTAACCCACGCTGCAGGGCACCACCCGGCAGGCACCACCTGCATCCAGGGCTGCCATTCACCTGGGACCCTGGGAGCTGACAGTCTAAGGAGGAAGTGGGAGGGTCAGAGGCGGATGATTATGTTCTGGGTTGAACCTGGTACACTGTGACTAAGAGTTGCAAAAACAAAACTTCCTTCATTTCCCATAACTGCTCTCATCCGCTCTGAAGCTCTCCTGCTGCTGACATGAAAACATTCAAAATTGCCATTAAAAGTAATTTGGTCTCATTCAGTTTCAAGGCCTTTTCTGGAAAATGCTAAGTCAATTCAAAATACCAACATTGTATCAGGGCTGTTTCCCACCCCTCCTCCACCCAAGGTGGGCTGTCTGGGAGCAGAGAGGAGCTCACACATCTTCTCAGGGGCTGGGAGGGCCCCGACCCTCACACAGGCCTGGCTGACCCCAGCCGATGCACCCTGACCTGGTGGCACAGAGGTGTGCAGTCTCTGCTGGTTTGGCTGTGACCCTGGGTGGCTGCCTGCAGGGCCCACCATAGAGCCTCTAGACTCACTGCTCTCTCAAAGAAAAAAAAAATTATGCTCTAAAGGAAAAATGTAAAAATGGACAAAAATACATTAGTTCCAAATCAGAGGAACAAAAAGGATGCCAGCCGAGCGGTCTCTGGCACGCAGGTTGTGCTCGAGATCCCAGACAAATGCCAGGCAGAGGCGCCAAGGCCCTCCTGTGCCCATCACTGGCAATAAGCCATGCTACAGAAGACTGTTTGCTTTCCTGGGCCTAGGTTTTCTGTGGACTTTCAGACCGGCTTCAGTGGAAATGACATTGCCTTCCACTTCAACCCTCGGTTTGAAGAGGGAGGGTACGTGGTGTGCAACACGAAGCTGAACAGAACATGGGGGCCCGAGGAGAGGAAGAAGGAGCTGCCCTTCCAGAAGGGGGTGCCCTTTCACCTCTGCTTCCTGGTGCAGAGCTCGGATTTCAAGGTGAGCAGGGATCTCCTCCCCACCTCTTACCCCGGACCCCGGCCCTATCTGGTGAATGGCCTCTATGTAATTCCCTTAACTGACATTCGGAATACAGATAACACCACCATTTCCTGGTAAGGGTGTTTCCCATGGCTGCGTAGTCTCCTTACCCACCTTCACCTGAATCTACAGGTGTGCCTGCTGCTGCTTTTACTCTGAAAATAAGAACTAGAGGAGGCATCACGTGGCTGTTTGCTGTTGTGTGTCTTTGAGTTCCAAGTTCATTCCACTCCTCTGCTATCGCCATTCCTCCTCTCCAGGTCGCTGATAGTATTTATTTTTCAGCGACATTGTTCCAGCCTTTATCCAGGGTCTATTAAGGGTATAATTATGTAAGCACATTACAGATTACCTTTGCAGGCAGAGTAGGTCTCTGAGCTCCGCAGGCGGGTAAGTCAGTCCGAGTACGCTTATCTGAGATAAGGATGTTCCCATTCACTCAGTATGCAACCCGAGGTGCCTCTCCTCTGCTCCCTGTGAGCATTTTATGCCTATTTACATAGTACCCCTGCAGCCATAAAAAGGAACGAGATCATGTCCTTTGCAGGAACATGGATGGAACTGGAAGCTATTATCCTCAACAAACTAACGCAGGAGCAGAAAACCAAACACCGCGTTTTCTCACTTATAAGTAGGAGCTGAACGATGAGAACACATGGACCCAAGGGGGGAAGCAATGCACACTGAGGCCTGGTGGGGGAGGGAGAGCATCAGGAAGAGTAGCTAATGGATGCTGGGCTTGATACCAAGGTGATGGGTTCATCTGTGCAGCAAACCGCCATGGCACACGTTTACCTAGTTAACAAACCTGCACATCCTGTACATGGACCCTGGAACTTAAAAGTTGAAGAGGCTGGGCGCCGCAGCTCACACCTGTAATCCCAGCGCTTTGGGAGGCCGAGGTGGGCAGATCGCTTGAACCACTGCACTCCAGTCTGGGTGACAAAATGGCACTCCATCTAAAAAAAAATAAGTTGAAGGAAAAATAAATAAATAAAGCCCCAGGTGAGCTAAGACTAGAAAGACAAGCCTCCTCCTGCGATAAACAGCCATGAGAACTAAGAACCCAACAACGAGAGCAAGTGGAGACTGGGGTTGACGCGCTTCGGATCACACGCACGTTCCTGTAACCAGCCCCACACTGCAGGCCTGACTCAGGTCTTCATTCTCTAGAAGGAGGGGTCCAGGAGCTTAAAGTGGTCCCTGTCCTGGCCTGGGCTGCTTCCCCCAGGACACGTGCTCTCCTGTGGCAGGTGATGGTGAACGGGAGCCTCTTCGTGCAGTACTTCCACCGCGTGCCCTTCCACCGTGTGGACACCCTCTGCGTCAATGGCTCTGTGCAGCTGTTCTCCGTCAGCTTCCAGGTCAGATTGTCCACCTGGCTCCAGTCCCAGGGGTTGGGGTACAGGGCCCACTATAACTGTGCCCAGGCCCTGCTGGGGGACCCAAGGCCACTGTCCAATCTCCTACCCAGGTGACTCTGGGGAGAACCTCTGGTGCCCTGTCCCAGTGTCTGCCTGCCCCTTCTCCTCTGTCACTCTGCCCTCCTTCTGTGTCACTGTCTCTGTCCGGAACACCTGCCTTGGTCTCCCAGACTCCTCGGCTGCCCCCTTCTCTGCACCCCTCGATTTCCACCCCGGTTAGGAGGCCATATTGTTCCAGAAAGAGCCCAGGCTCAGGAACCACACTGAATCCAGTTCAGATTCCCAGCTCTGCGGTTCATCATCTGAGGGATCTTAGACAAGCGACTTCCCCTCCCCCAGCCTTGGTTTCCTCATCTGTAGATGAGATGCCTGCCCCCCATGGGGTCACTGCCTGCCCCCATGGGTAGTTCAATGAGGAGACGGGTGTCAGAGGTCACACAATGGCCCGCATGGGCCCACACTAGGGTCTCTTTGACCTCTGTGTTTTAAAAACTTGGAATGTGTTGCCAACAAGTTCAGGAGAGCCAGGTATGGTGGAGGTCTGTAATCCCAGCTACGCAGGAGGCTGAGGTGGGAAAATTCCTTGAGCCCAGCAATTCGAGTTTTGCCTCGGCAACATAGCAAGACCCCATCTCTAAAATATTTTGTTTGAACAGTAAAATAAATAAAACTAAAGAAGGTCAGGAGATACTAATACCAGGTGAAAATGGGAAGATTAGGCGATGCTGAGCCCACATGCCCACAGGCAGCTGGATGGGAGCCGCTGTTACCCTTTTGGCATTCAAGGGAGCTCCCTGAGATGAGAGAAGCACATAGTAGGCCCTCAGCACATCTGGGCTCCTTGCTCTTTGAGCCTCTTCCCTCCTTCCCTCTCTCCCCTGTGGGTGGAAGTGGGAAAAGAGACAGAGGGAGACGGCCCCCTGCGCTGCTCACGGGAACCTGGCCCTTGCCCCTCCCACCTCTGTGTGGCCCTCACCCGCTTGCCGCATCCCCCTCCCTGCCTGGTCCCTCCCTTTTGACCCTGCCTCTGCCTCTCAGCTTCTCCTTGGCTCCATTAATGCTCCTCCTCACCGCCCGGTGCCTTTTGTTTTAACAGAACACCCGCACAGTCCCTGTTCAGCCTGCCTTCTCCATGGTGCAATTCTCCCAGCCTGTCAGTTTCCCACCCAGGCCCAAGGGGCGGAGACCAAAAGTGAGTTCAATACAGAGGCCCTGGGTGGCTGAGCAGACAGCAGGAAGGACCGGGGGTCTGAGAGGTTGGCTCCAGCCAGCAGGCCACCCAGGGACTACAGGCTCCATCTTGCCCACCCAAGAGTTCCCTGTCTCTGTCCACCAGGCGACCAGAGCTGGGGACCTAGGAGTCACCCTGGATTCTTCACTCCCCCTTCTTTATGTGTCTCCAAGGCACCAATGAGTCTCCCTCCCGAAGCCACCAATGTGGCCCAGGCCTCTGGGATTCCTCACCATGACAACAGTGGTCTAGTTCCCCAACCCCCACACCCAACCACTGTCACAGTGACCTTCTTATAAGCAAATCTGGTCACACCGTCTCCCTGCTTAAAAATCTTAAAAGCCCCAAGCCCTTCTAAATAAAGCCCAAATTATCCAGCAGAGTATATGGATTCCTCCCCAGTCTGTCCCCAATCTACCTCCCTGCCTTACCCCAAACTTACAAAGCTCACACAGCCTCTGAGCCTCACTCGAGGCCCTCCTGGGGCCACCATGCTTTTGCACATGCGGTCCCTAGTCCCAGAAGCACCCTCCCCCAGCCTGCCCCCAGCACACGCCTAATTGCCCTTCCCTGCTCTGCCTAAGTGTCGCTCCTGGGAGTCCTCCCTTCCCAAACTGTTGTTGGACCCTCCCCCGTGTCCCCATGGACTCCGTACATATCTATGCCATGCCAGTTCACAGCACCCCATTGTAACTGTGTGTGCGTGTCTGTCCCTGTCACTCCACCCCCATCTCCCTGTGCCCATGAGGCCCCAGAGGGCTGGGAGTGTGGCTTGTTCACTTGCACAGTGCCTGGCACTTAGTAGGGTCTCAATGAAAGAATGAATGTGGAATGCGGTTCACACAGCCAGAGAGAACAGGATCCCAGCCAGGCAAGAACAGTCTGCTGGGTGAGGCAGGACCCAGGAAAGGAGGCTGGCAGCCCTTCCTCTGCCACTCAAGCAGTGGGGACTGGGAGGAGGGGCGCTTTGTCTCCACAGCCTTTTTATGGCCCATCACGGTACAAACAGCGCACCTGCCTCCTGCCACGCTGACTTCAGGATGGGTGGAGCCCCAAGGAACATTTGCAGGGCAGCCCAACTTTGGCCCTGGCCCTGGCCCTGGGGAGGATGGAAGGTGTGGTGGATACAGTCAGACAGAACTGGCTGCCATTTTGGATTTGATCCCTTCCACTTGGGAGAGCTTGGGCAAATGGCTTAATCTTTCTGAGCCTCATTGACTCACCAGTGACACAGGAGCTGGGGCTGCTTCCCTCGTTGGAAAGCACCAAAGCCCAGGACTCGGCCCACAACAGGCCTTTGACAAATACCACTTCTCCCCTTACGGGTGAAATATGACACTGGATGTAATACTCTTGGCTCTGGGAGCCACAGAAAGCAATGAGGTCTCTATCAAATCCATCCTCCTCTCTCTTGAGGAAACAATGGGGACCCTATCCCCGAACCCCTGTGCACCTGGGGTAAACATCTGGTGCCATGGGCTCAGGAAGGCTTGCTTGGGAGCGAGAGGGGGTTGAATGTGTCTGGGGAGGTGTTTCTGAGCACAGGAGCCTCCCTGGAGTTCTGCCAGTGTCTCTCCCCGTTCCGTGGTGCCAGCAATAACCACCACTCTGACCTCCTCTCCCCTGCAGCCTCCCAGCGTGCGGCCTGCCAACCCAGCTCCCATTGTAAGTCTCTTGCTTTCTTTTTGGATCCTCTTTATTTTGGCTCTTCTTGGGGGCTTATGGAGGAGGCAGGACCAGGCATTGGGCCTCTTCCATCAGGAGGAGTGGGGAAGGCAGAGGCCAGGCCCTTGACCGTCTGCCCGGCTTGGCGAGGTTGGGGGGTGGATGTGGTTGGCTGGGCCTGATGAAAGAACCTGAGTTGCCACTCCGTGGGCAGCCATGGAAGACAGTGGTCCCACATTCACTTCTCCCACCTACAAAGGGAGGTTAGACTGAGAGATGTTTCCCTGAAAGGAAAGATGGACCAGAGCCCCCAGCGTCCCCATCTGTCTTCTCCAGGGTTCTAACCTTTGCCCTTCCCTCATCCCCTTGAGAGAAGAAACACTTGGACCCACCCTTTGTGGGGTCTGTGGGGCCACTGGGCTGGTTACCACCCCGGGAGGTGCCTGCTGTGTGGCGCCCTCTGGTGGGAGCTGGTGGTCTTCACATGGGAGAGCCTGGGTGAGACCTGGTTTCTTTCTTCCAGACCCAAACAGTCATCCACACGGTGCAGAGCGTCCCTGGACAGATGTTCCCTGTAAGTCTACAAGTTCTGGTCAGTTCATAGCTGCCCAGTGTCCTCCTTCACCAAGAGCTAAATTCCCCAGAGCCCTAGAGTTGGAAAGAAAGGGGTCAGCAAGGAGGATGGGGACATCTGGGGCTGAGTCCTTGGCTCTTGTGACATGTGGCTAAAGCTGTCCTTGGGACAGCAGAGGTTCTAGAAGAAGCAGGATTTATCCAATGGTGGACGAATAAGGGAAACCGGCCCTTCTGTCACCCAGTGAGGAATGCAGAGGCCCCAGCACCCCGATGTGAGGTTCCTGGCCCTGAATCCTGGGTCCCTGGGATGTCACTACTGATCACAGGCTTAAGCTTTTTTCTTTCTTGTGCAAATCAGGCAGGGGCTTATCGTTAGTGGGGCTGCCTGTTGCAGGTGACCATGGTGGGGTCCAGGAACATGGCAGGAAGTTCCAGGACAGCTAACACGAAAAGGGAGGTAGATGGGAGAGTCCAAGGGCCAAAGCCTCACGGGGTCAGCCTCACAGTGGAGCCCCTCCAGAATGTGTGGGTGGCGTGGGGGAGCACTGTGCACACACGTGCTCTCCCATTGAATTATCTGGTCTCTTCAACAGAATCCTGCCATCTCACCTATGATGTACCCCCACCCAGCCTATGTAAGTGGTTTCTCAGGGAGGGCGGGGCTTCTGTTTGTGGTGGGCAGGCTGGGGGTGGAGGGCAGCTGCGGGAGGACCCGCTGGCCTTGCAAAATTACAAGCTATTCTTTGGTAAGCTGAAGTTCTTCAGAGCATCCCAGCGAATTAGGAGACGGTGGAGAGGAGCTTCCAACCTTCAACTGTCAAGTCAACGCGAGCACATTGCATGGCCCTCCCTTTCACCCCATGAGCCTTTGTGTGTTTCACCAAAGTTCCTTTTATGACACTGAACTAAGCCCATTAATTTAAGGAGCACTGGAAAGTTTTCCTTTGGCTTTTCCTGAACCAAGTAAAGATTTCCTGGGCTTCTCAGCTGACAGCCCAAATTCACGGACGCTGGTACAATATTCCCCTTCCTTGTGACGGCTGCACTGGCTGCCACTGGCTGACCTGTCCCCCTCCATCCGACAGCCGATGCCTTTCATCACCACCATTCCAGGAGGGTTGTACCCATCCAAGTCCATCGTCCTGTCCGGCACTGTCCTGCCCAGTGCTCAGCGGTAAGCCAAGGGCTCCAGTGGCCTCTGGGAAGAGAGAGTCCTTTCAGGTCATTCTGCCATTCCCCTGGCTTCGGGCAGGCTGCGAGTGATGGGGAGGAAATGGGGCCTGGAACCCAGGGGACAAAGGTTCAGGTAGGCTGTCCCCCCAGGTTCCACATCAACCTGTGCTCTGGGAGCCACATCGCCTTCCACCTGAACCCCCGTTTTGATGAGAATGCCGTGGTCCGCAACACACAGATCAACAACTCTTGGGGGTCTGAGGAGCGGAGTCTGCCCCGAAAAATGCCCTTCACCCGAGGCCAGAGCTTCTCGGTAAGCCACCATGGTCTGGAGCTTGGAGAGGCTCCTCTGGGTGCACAAGGGGGTGAAGGAGGTCAGGTAGACCTTGAACAGGGTGGGAGCTGATGCCTCATGATGAGGGCCCAGAAGAAGAGAAGATGGTCAACAAATTATTATTTTTAACTGTCCCGCATGAAGGAAGTGTTGGGATCTGCTTTTTACAGATGAGGAAACAAACTCACAAGTGCAGGTTACTTGCTTGTGGTCACAGCCAGCACATGTCACATCAGAACCACGCAGGAGCTGTTATTCATTTCTTCACTTATTCATTCAACAGCTATTTTATTGTGGACCACTTTTTGCCTGAAGCCCCCCACATGCTGGGGGCGCAGTCATGACCAGACAGACAGGGTCCTGCCTGCAGGAAGTTTACAGTTTAGGTAGGGAAGGAGCAAGGAAACTAAAGATTAACAGATTATTGCAGATAACGACAGTGCCACGCAGAAAGCATAACAGAGCAATGAGACAGCGAGGCTGGGAGGGACAGCTAGGACCAGCGTGCAGAGGCGCAGGTGTGGCCTGTGCAGGAACAGCAGGCAGGCGTGTGCCGCCCTGACTACACATTCAAATCACCCAGAGGGCTTACAAAGGAAACATCGTAAAATTTTTCTTTTCCTGAACCAAGTAAAGATATCATGGGCTTCTCAGTTGACAGCCCAAATTCATGGATACTGGTACAATATTCTCCTTCCGCATGGTGGCTGTGCTGGCCACCACTGGCTGACCTGTCCCCTCCTTCTGACAGCCAATGCCTTTTGTCACTACCATTGGGAGGGCTGTGCCCGTCCAAGTCCATCGTCCTGTCGGGCACTGAGGCAGTCGGCCTGAGCATTCGTATTTTTAAAACATGCTTAAGTGATTATACTCTGCAGTCAGAGTGGGTGATGACTGACATAGGGCTTTGCAGCCATGGAAAGGAGCTTGGATTTTAACACAGTGAAAAGCCACAGGAGTGTTCCAAGCCAGGGAGCAACACTCTTTGATTTGTAGATAACTGTGTGACCTTGGGCAAGTGACTTAACTACTCTGTGCTTCAGTTTCCTCATCTGCAAAATGGAGCTAATAATAGGAGTCTCCTAGAATTGTAAGAAAGGAGTGAGACAGTATCTGTAACGTGCTTAGGACAGTGCCTGGCACATGGTGCGTGCGATAGGAGTGCTAGCTATTGCAGAGGGCAGGAGGTTTTAACATTTGTACCTGACTGCCTCACAGAGGAGGCCTTGGGGTGGAAAAGACAAGTTAGGTGGCCAATGCCACAGGAGCCTAGGCACCGAGCCCTCCAGTGTGCTGGGTCCGAGGGATAGACGGCACAGCCAGCGCTGCCGTCCCTGATGGGGTGGGATCAGTGTTCTAGGCCAGGGAACAGCAGGGGAAAGAGCCTGCACAGCCTGTTTAGTGAAGAGCCGGTCACTCGGTGGGGACAGAGTGGGCTTATTAACGTTTGGGGAGGGAGGGAAGGAGGGAGGGAGGGAGGGAGGGAGGCCGGAGGCGGCAGTGAGGGTGGAGGACTTCCCAAGGGTAGTGCAAACGGCATGATCTCCACGCAGGTGTGGATCTTGTGTGAAGGTCACTGCCTCAAAGTGGCCGTGGATGGCCAGCACCTGTTCGAATACTACCATCGCCTGCAGAACCTGCCCGCCATCAACAGGCTAGAAGTGGGGGGTGACGTCCAGCTGACTCACGTGCAGACGTAGGCAGCTCCCTGGCCCTGGGGCCAGGGGCTGGGGTGTGGGGGCTGGGGTCTGGGTCTTCTCATCATCCCCACTGCCCAGTCCCACCCTTTCCAACTCTGCCTGGGACCTGGGCTATAATGCAGGGGCCATGTCCTTGTCTGGTCCTGCTTCTGGCTACAGCCACCTGGAACAGAGAAGGCAGCCTTCCTCAGCTGGGGCAGCACCTGGGGCTCCAGCTGCCCGAATCATACCATCCCAGGAGGTGGGCACAGTGGGCGGAGGGGAGGGGGGAGTGAAGATGAAGCCCTATGTGCAGTCCCCTCCCATCCCCCACACAGCACCACCCCAGTCTCAGGCCTCTAGCTGTCCACTCCTGGTGAGAGGTGACCTCCTCAGCCCCTCCTCTCTGACCTTTAACCTCACTCTCAGCTTGCACCCTGCACCAACCCTTCACCCCTCCAGTAAGGCTAGCCTGATGGCATCCCACTGGCCCCCACCAACTGACCGGAATGTTCTCTTCAGGGGATTGGCTTCTTTCCCAGTTTCCTTAAATAAATGAAAATGCTTATTGGCACACTCATGTGGGTTGGCCATGACTTCTTTCATTCATTTGGAGACATTTCCGAGTCTGTGGAATCGGGCAGGGGAGCCTGCCGAGAGGAGGGGGAGGGGAGAGCCTAGGCTCCCTTTGGGCAGGGGGTCCTGACCTCCACCCCTCCTCTCAGAGGCTCCCTCACAAATCCCACGAGGGTGCTGGAGAAGCAGGCTGGGGCTCGAGCCTCTTGGGCAGGAGTCTAGGACACAGGGAGTTGGTAATGGGGAGCCCCAGGAAACAGCCCAGTGCCTCTGAGATGGGAGAGGGGCTGGGGCGGAGCCTGTGAGGTCCACTGCAGGGCCAGAGCTGGCTCCTCAGACCTGGTGTCCCAGTGGAAGGAGGTGTCTTGGGGGTGGGGGGTCAGGAGAAGCCGACCTGAAGCTTCGTCCAGGTGTGTTCCACTGTGGGTCTCCCCGCAGCGGGGGGCATTAGGTGTTAGGGCTTGCATGTAAAGAGCGTCTCTGTGTCCCTGTGTGGGGTTCTGCCAGCCACTGAGCCTTGCCAGACAGCCCAGCTCTGCGTCCATGATGCCAACACCTTCTGCTGGGCCCAGCAAGAATCCAGCTCCTCAGGCCCCAGCGTTGTCCCCAGAGCAGAGCACCCACAGCCCTGGGAGCTTGCTGGAAACGCGGCATCCCACCCCTCGCCGACCTGCACAATAAGTCGTCTCTGTTTTCACAAGACCCCCAGCGAGGTGAGTGCATTAAAGCTGAGACACCCTGGTGCGGGAGCGGACTCCTGGCCATGGTGCTAAGATGCACGGCTGTTGCACAGGGCATGGGGCACCCAGGAGCCAGAGGCCAAACCTGAGATGGGAGCCGCATGTTGCCAGGTCCCCAGGGGCCCCCTCTGAGCTCGTTCCTTGGTTTTGACAGGAGAAGGAAACGGGGCTTAGCCTCTTAAGAGGGCTTCCCTGGCTGGCTCCAAACCCAGGAGGGACCCCAGTACCTCAGGTGAGGATGCTGTGGCCACACTCGCCTGGACACGCTGCCCTCCCCAGGGCCACACCCATACTAGCCAAACTCGAATGAGACAGATGGCCCCAGAGCAAAACACTAAGACAGTGTCTTAGCCAGGTGTGGTGGCTCACACCTGTAATCCCAGCACTTTGGGAGGCTGAGGTGGGCGGGTCACAAGGTTAGGAGTTTGAGATCAGCCTAACATGAAGAAACTGTCTCTACTAAAAATACAAAAATTAGTCGGGTATAGTGGCACGCGCCTGTAGTCCCTGCCACTCAGGAGGCTGAGGCAGAAGAATCACTTGAACCCAGGAGGCAGAGGTTGCCTGCAGAGCCAAGATCGCGCCACTGCACTCCAGCCTGGGTGACAGCAAGCCTCCATCTCAAAAGAAAAAGACAGCGTCCAAGAAGCTCCAGGCCTTCCCTGCAGTGCTGGCCTCATGCGAAAATCCCACCGTCACCGCACCCCGCATCAGATCCTGTGAGTAGGAGGCAGGCCCGCGACCCCCTCCCGGCCACAGGTCTTTGGACAAGCACGAAGCTCCAACTGCTGCCCTCCCACGTGGCAGCCACTTCAGAGGAGCCATGGCCTGCCTGGGGTGTCCCTCTGTGGGGGGGGGGTCTGTCCAGGCCACAGCCCCCCACTCTGAGGTGAGCTTTCCCTACAAAACACCCACACACACATACAGAGTGATTAAAATAAAATGCAATTCATATAAATATCTCCATCAAGGAATCATATAGGGAAGGCCCAAGTGGCCGCTGGGAACAGTCTGGGTGTTATTTATGCCTCTGTATTTAAAAAACTAACTCTACACAGGGCAGTTAAATACACAGTGGCACGACAGCACCTCCTGGTGGTCACTTGCAGTGATGCACTCAGCAGCGGGTTCCATCTTTACCCACTTGCCAGGCCTGGCATTGAAGATTTCATCTCCAAGGGACCAGGGAGGCCCCAGCTTGAGAGAGAAGGTTCCGACCAATCCAGGGTGCTACTTGGCAGGTCAAATAAAGGGCTTGATGGGGAACGAGGTGAGGAAATAGGATGTGAGGCTTGGGCATATCGCTTTCTTCCATCTCCCCCAGGTCCTGCGGCCTCGGATAATGCAGAGCTGGCTCTGCGGTTACGTTCTGTGCTGGCAGCTTCGACCCCTCAGTACGCCGTCAGAACGCGGACATCTCCAGGCTGCTGGGCTGCACCACTGCCCTGTCCTCCTTCGCCTCATAGGAAAATACAGCACCAAAGATATCTTCATGATAACGCTTCTGACTCTTAAGTGGAAGCAGAGACCAACATGTCAAGTCCAGGCTGGGATGAGCCCCTGGGGTTTCCCAGCTTCCCTATCACGTGGACCTTCCCGAGCCATCTGTCTCCCCACTGTCATACTTAGACTGTGCTTGACTCTGGCTTAGTCTCGAACCCCCGCTCAGCACCTGCTCTGGTGCAGGCCCTATAACCATCTCCGAAGCTTTACTTAGCATTCCCATTTCCTGCCCAGCGCTCACTGTCCGCCCAAGATGCTCCAGGAAGTATGAACTCTGCAATAAATACGTTTGGGAAATGCTACATCCTTTCTTTTCTCCCAGCCTTGCAGGTCCCAAAGCACAGCCTCATGTTGAAGGCTCCGAGAAGTCTTGGAGTAAAGCTACGTGTCTGCCTTGGTTGAACTAAGCATGTCCCAGACTATTTGACCTTGGGACATTTTGGATGCCAAAGATCTACCAATCCATTCAACACATTTGGGAAATACCTGTTATCTCCTCACTGTTCTTCAGACAAGCCAGGTGAACTCCCACCCCAGGTCTTTGTGCCTGCTGCCCCCTCCAGAACAGCCCAGAGTGTTTCCCTCAGTATCCACGGGGGTCCTCCTCACCACCTCAGGCCTATTCTCAAACTTCCTTCCAGTTCCACCTTCCCTGGCCACCCTGTTTTAAATGACACTCCCCAGCGTCCCAGGGGACGCTGTTTTTCTCCGAAGCACCACACCTCTTCTTTGTTTGGGTTTGTCAGTCCCCATAGAATGTAAGGAGTTTTTGCCTGTTTTGTTTACTGTTCTATCCCTAGCACATAGCAGGTGCTCAATAAACGTTCAGTTGAACGTATAAATGTGTCTTAGGGAAAGTATGGAAGTGACTGTCACAGGCTTTGGAACTAGAGAGAGGCAGACTGAACTCTAGGCTCTCACATTCCCTGCTGTGGCCCCCGTAGGCCCCCTTCCCTCTGTCAAATGGGGTTCCTCCCTCAAAGTCCTCAGCAGGACTGAATGAAATGCCACATGAAAATCCTTGGCAAGCACTAGGCCCAGTGTAAATCCTTGTAAATATCAGTATTATCTTCATCAATAAAACCCCATCCCTTCCTGCTGGGTGGATGAGAGTGAGTAGATGCCAGCCTGGGTGGAAATAGGAAGCATGAGGCTCACCCGAGGGTGACGGTGGGGTGGCCTTGCTCTCCCCAGCGCTCACAGCCTTGCTTTGGCTACACAGATACTTTCTGAAAGGGGAGTTTGAGGAGAGGCCAAGGAGACTCTCCTGCCCCCATTCCACAGATGGAGAAATGGAACACATTCACCCCACTTCTCAAAGCTGGCTGGCAACCAGACCAGGATGCGCAGCTGGGCTTCTGATAGCCCACCCAGCTCAGATCTCAGCCACTGCTGGGATTCTCTTGGGGTCCAGAGCTTTTCTGGGCCTGACTCCCCTGGGTCCACCTGCCACTCCTGGTCCTGGCTCTGATGGCCTGTGCCCTTGGCCAGTACCCTAAGCCCACATGCCCACTATGATACCTTGAGCTTAAAGAAATAGTCCTCGACCTGTTCCTCATTCAAGTTCAGCTTGGCAGCCACCAGCTGCTTCAGGGTGTGAGCCACGTCCCGGGCCATGCGCACATCCCCACAAACATAGAAGTGGCCCGGCTCCTCATGGAGCACACGGAGCACCTCGCTGGCCAGCTGCTGCCGCAGGATGTCCTGAACATAGACCTGAAACCAGAGGAAACGGTGGGTCTAGTCCCTGGCCACTGGGGGCCAGGCTTGCAGGCAGCCCTGCTGGCCTCAGGGAGGCAGCGAGAGGGCACTAAGGGCTGTGGGGTGAGTCCCCTCCCAGCCAGGACCTTGCACGAGGCCAGGCTCAGGATGAGGAGGCACATGGGTGCCCTGGGGGCTGGGCTGGGATTAGAGAGATTAATGTCAGGCACAGTCCTGCCCTCAAGGGGCTGACAGTCCAATGGGGCTCCCAGAGGGTCTCTGAATTTGCCATGCTTCAAAGAGGCATCAATGATGCCAGTCCCCCTGCCCAGGGCTCTGCCTACACCCCAGAAAAGGGAGCCTCTCTATGCAGACTGTCCATCAGGTCCCTGCAGGGCCGGATCCTGGGCTCCCCAGTTAGAAGGTCCAGGAGTCAGTCGGCGACTGTCTGCTCCTGCTCCACACAGGATGCCCAGTGGCTCCAGCACCGGAAACAGAGCACTGGGCCCAAGAAGTGTCCTGATGGGACGAATGTGTGAGGGCTGAGAGTCTATTCCGACACCCCAGGCCCCTGGGGGCCGCAGAGCCTGTCTGAGGGCCATATGGAAGCATTGGCTGCCCTCCAGCCTTGCAGGGCTTGAGCGTGGCCCCCCTGGACCACCTCTCCCTGGGCAGTCGCGTGTCCCACGGGGGCTCTGGGGTTAATCCATGTGTGACGTAAGTTAATCTTGAACCTCTCCAGCCTGTCGCTTCTACTGGAAGAGAGGGTGTAACGCTCTTCACAGCATCACTCTGGTGGTTGTGAATTACCCGAATATCAGAGCTCAGGAGCTGAAGACTCAGGGAAGCCAGTGGCCTGCAGGGACCCAGGGCTCACACTGGAGCCTGCGTGTATCATGCTTCACCTGCTTTGAGGCTGCATTTACCTTGGGCTTGCCCGGCAGGCGGGAATAGGCTGTGTGAACCGCGTGCAGCACCCCCTTCCGGGCCATCTCCAGCATCTCCTCCAGATAGATGTGGTCCTCATCTGGGCGGCGGCACCCGAACACCAGGGTCATGCGCCCTCCCTGCACTCCTGCAAGAGTCCCGGGCTGTTGTTATCATGTCTGCCACCAGAGGGCGTCACGGCTCCAAGCCCAACTGGAATTACTTCACTCCTATAAGCATCTTATTTAATAGCACTATCCCCACTCTACAGATGAGGAAACTGAGGCCCAGGGCATTCAGACCACTCATCCATAGTCACATACCCTCAGCCCATCAAAAGCAGGGACTTTCCCATCACCCCTCTCTCCCGGGAGAGGGAGTCCCTGCTCCGATGCGGGAGACGGGAAGGCGGCCATTCTCACCCATAGAGGCCTCACAGTGAGGCAAGCTTGGGATGCCTTCCCTCGAGAGAGGGCCAGGAGCCACTTGCGGGGCTGCGGGGCTGCGGTTCTGCTCCTAGGCAGGCGCTGCCCTTGGTGCCCTCCCACCTGGGAAGCCTCCAGCCTACCCTTGTGCTGGGAGTCGTGGAGCCGTTGCTGCCAGAAACTGCGGAACGGGGCGATGCCTGTGCCAGGCCCGACCAGGATGCAAGGATGGGAGGGGTCCTCGGGGAGCTGGAAGCCGCTGGCACTGAAGAGGACAGGAGAAGAGAGGGGCCAGTGCTCAGACACCCCGGCCCGCCCGCACACAGGATGTCTGGGGAGCGGGGCCTGCAGGGGGCAGTAGTGAGGGGTGTGGAGGAGAAGCTCCTCCAATTTTATTTCCCACGCCCTTCGGGCCGCTGCGCTTCTGTCCCGGTACGAGCAGCTCCCCCAGGTCCGTCTGAAAAAGGGCCAAGCTCACTGGACTCTGGGCCCCACCAGCATTGCTGTCCTTGCTAAAGACAGCAACATCACTATGACCCCAGTGTCTTCTTTATGGGCCAAGGGGCCCTGAGCGGCACCTAAACCCCAGATCCCTCCTTTTCCTCCCGGAACTCCCAGGGGTCGGCAGTCCCACAGGGGACAGAGTGGAAGGGGTGCTTACTTTCGCACAAAGCAGGGCACTGGGTCTTGGGGCTTCAGGCTGTTGAGCCATGTGCTGCAGACACCGTGGTGCAGGGGACCCTGGCCATCTGCAACGATAACACAAAGTGACCAACATGCCTCACTGCCCATGAGCAAACTGTACCAGCTGCTCCGCCCACACCACGGCCTCCCTGGACATCCCCACTCAGGCACTCTCCTTATCCTCCTGGTTCTGAGATCCACCCTCTGTGAGCCCAGAGCTGAAGAAGGTTGAAAGGGACTTAGATAGGCTGCAAGTTGCCCCTTCTGCCAATGCAGAAACTGAGTCCGGGAGAGGAGAAGTGACTTGGACAAGGTCCCTCGGGTAGTGGTGGAATCAGGTGGGCGGCTCAGGTTCCCTGACTCCTACTCCAGCACTCCTTCCAAAGAGTTTCTCCAGGAACACTCCCAGCTCACCACTTAGCTCCACTGACAGCAGCTGGAAGTGACCCGCGGGGTGGCTACTGCTGTGTGTCCTCATGAGTGTGACCCTTGCTGGGAGCAACCCTGGGTGGTAGATGAGCTCTGTGCATTTCTGCCTGCTCTGACCCCTCACTCTCCTCCTCAGTGGCCCCTCCTGAGCTTGTAGAAAGCCAGGAGATTTCTCTGGGTTGCGTTCCCTTTACAACGCCCAGCACTTGAAGGAGGCCTCCATCCAACGGCAATCCAAATTCGATCCTCAGGATTGAATCTTGCTCTCACAGGACAAGCCTGCCTCTCCTCTCCTGGTGTGGGTGGGTGTTGTCTAGCAGGGCAAATAGAATCTCTGTGCAGTTTTTAGAAACTGGGTTTGTGCTTCCTAGAGGACAGAGGGCTTAGAAGTGTGGGCAGCTCCCAGCTTTGCCAACCCAGGTGATGCTCAGTTACAGAGGGCAGGGCAGGGCAGGGGGCGGACGCCAGTGCAGAGCCAAGGCCACCTGGATGAGATGTCGCCTCCCCCTCTATGGCAGTGTCACCCCTCCTTTGTGGCCCTCAGTGACCCTGACCTTTCCTTCTTGGCTTCTGCACAATGAGAATCATCTCATTATTTCTATGCCCATCTCTCCACTGCTGCCTCTAGATGCTCCCTGAGGGCAGGGCTGGTGTCTGCTGTATTTCCACACCCATCCAAGTGCCGAGCATGGGGGTGTGAAATAACCCATCACTGAATGAGCTCAGTGAGTGAAAGAACAGTCAATGCAGAATCTCCCCTGCATGATCAAGAAGACTAAGAACTGCTGGCCTCCCACCAAGGGTTGGTGCTGTTCACATCTGATCTCATTAAATTGTCCCAAGGTTAGTCGGCCAGCAGAGTGGTAAAGGACTTGGACTCAGCAGTTAGACTATCTGGGCCCGAATCTCAGCTCTCTACTTGCTAACAGTGTGACTTTCTGTGCCACCTGTAAAATGCACATAGTACCTACCCCACATGGTAACTGATCCTAGACATACAGAAGGCTTGGTTTAGTGCCTGGTTCGTGGAGATCTCTCCCACACGCCTCCTATCACTCTTAACTCTGGGCGATGGGTGTTCCCTCCCTCCTCGACTTGATGAGGAAGCTGAAGATGAGTTGATGAACGATGCCCAATAAGGGGCGGGGTGGGGCTGTTCCAGAGCCTCTGCCCCGAGCTCACCTTGGGTGTGGTACATGACCACGGCCACAGTCAGGTGGATCTCGGTGGGCGTGTGATCCCGGGAGGAGCTGATGGAGTAGAACCGGGGCTTCAGAATGGGGAGCTGGGAGAGCAGGAAGCCAGCAGACACCCGCAGGGATGGGAACTCCTCCAGCACCTCCAGGAACGTGGGGCTGTTGGTGAACTTCCACTTGCTGTACTCTGAGGGCTGAAAGCCAAGGGTGATGTGAGCGACTCAGGGTGCCTGCCCCACTTTGGGGGAAAGGCTGTCACAACCCAGTATTGATTCATTCATTCACTCACTCAACAAGCAAGTCCATGTGCCAGGCACTGTCCAGGGTGCTGAGACTACTGAGCTTGAGAAGAAATAGCTCCTGTCCCGGAGGAACTCAGGCCAGTACATTTATCTAACTTGTGTGACCTCCACTGTCAGTAACTCATGGGCAGGGTCAAATCTTTGTTGTAATTTATTTAGGGCAAAGTTTGGAACCAATCAGACCTGGGTTCAAATCTTGGCTGGATGCCCTCACTAGCTGTGGAATCTCGTCCCAATCACTTAACCTTTGGGAAACAAGGATAGTATTGCCTTGCTTGTGGGATGTTACGGGAATTAAATGAGAATGCATGTACCAAGTTAGTACACTGTAGTCACAAAATAATGGTGGTGGAGGTAGTTGGAATCAAGGTAATTTGCTATAATGTTGACGATAATAATGACAACCAGTGCCTTTTGCAAAGATTTGGAA